AAAAAAACTTATTACACTTATATACTAGTTGACACCAACCCATCAATTGCTAACACTAGGGCTGCTCTTACTGGGTACTGTTGCAACTGTTTGGTAGGCAGACGCACTGTTGGCTGCTGTGCACATGTCATGTCTGTTGTCTGGTTTCTATCTTGGGCACGGCATCGAGATGAGGTTGAACCACCTGCATCTTTTTTAGATGATATATTACTTTCAAGTAATGATATTGAAAATGATGAATGATGATTATTAATCTTAATGCGTATTAATATTGTAATATAAATGATCATTTTTGCTATAGTTGCTTCACTTGTGGCAACCAAAGTTTTTTGTGGTATTCTATAGGAAGATGCTGCTCCCCATCTAGTATTTTTATTTTATTCTGTCGACTTTAACGACACCATACGGGACGGAACGTGATGGCAATTCACGGAAGGCCTCTGTAATATTTTACATTATATCTTTAATTTAGGAGCCATATGTTCGGCAGTGGACTGTTGTAATGATGATGAATAATGATGACTAAAAATTGTAATTTTTGTTGCTTATTTGAACTATTTCTATTTTACTGTGTGCTTTATTATCTGTTATATATTATGTTATATGTGTAATTTATAAATAAACGCCGAGCAAAGTTGAATTTATTGCTTTGGCACCCTTTTTTATCTCTTTTAATTGACAATATCCTTCTGATTTCTAATAATATCGTAAACGGGCGAGACATTATATTTTAATGATGTATGGGATTTATACTTGCTAATAGATGAATACTTTAATGAACAAAGGGCGGGCACTGCACCTGTCTGCTGTGTTATTTTTAAAAGAGGACTCATAAAACACTGACGATTTTAACCATAATTAATGCAGTGATTATACATGATCTTTGGGACTTATTACATATCAATATCGTATCATAAATAGAAATGTTACCATCAAGTTATTTTGAAAAAATCTTTTAATATGATCTTTTGATATGAAAACACGAAAAATGTTTCTACCTATGTCCGTTAGAAACCATCCAAGCGATTTTGATGATATGTTTATGTGTGTTTGAACGGGTCTCTATATGATTCATATTCACATATGGACTCGGTAGGTGGCGCTGTTGTCGAAATCCAGAAATCACCTGTGCGAAGTCGGGGCGGATCGCTAATAATAAATACAATTAAACTATACCTGTGTGTTTGTTATCCTGGCACAAACAGTTCAAAACATCTTACTTCCTCACAATTTATCAGTGTGTAATAACAGATAAGCATGATATTACCTAGTCATTTTGGTATTTTAGAACCCAGTCATTTTAAGATGTATAATTAGGTATTTAATAATCAACCAAAGCATATTAAAAAAAAGTCTTGACACCGGGCCTGTCTGTCTGTCTGCATAAATAGATCTGAATTATATGTCTGAATTATATAGACTATGTTGGAAATGATGATTTACCATCTATAAATACGGTTGCATTATAACTTGTTTTTTACACAGTCAGTTTAAAACATCTTTCTTACTATATAACGTGTGTTGGTAATATTGTAAATATAAATGGATATATTATACCTTAGTCATCTTGAATTTATTCATATTATTTTAACGGTAATTGGGAAGTACACTCACAATCAATATATGTAAAAAATTGTATCCATACCACATTTGTACACAGACAGGCACTATATTTTGCCGTAACTACTAAAAATATTGAAGTACCTGAAAATGCTGAATGTACCTACAACTTGGTTTTATATGAACTATTATTCAACAGTGCACTATTTTAACTTAAAATACCGGTAAAAACCACTATAAATAGCTTTTAGTTTATTTATAGGTTATTTTAAAATTCATATTTTAATTGTCAATTTCTCGATTTTCCGTCTAGATGTGGTAAAACTAATATTACTTTTGTAAACTATAAATTATAAGGAATAAATCGACATCCATTTCATTGCGTGACGCGAAAATTTGTGGTGGGCCCATTCTCCATACAAAAATTGATTGTCTCCTTTACAATGTGAACTACTTTTTAAAAAAATTACAAACTATTTACTACCCGTGCAGTTAAAATGGGATTGAAAATGGCGTCTATCTATTCATCTCTCGCTCGCACACAGTTGCTATCTATACTCACACCCGCCGATAGACTGCAAAAAAAAATACGTTGCGATATGCGTTTTTCGTACTATCTATAACTTCAGTGCAACTTGTCCTAAGTCTAAATAACGCCACATTAATAGATCCCACCCAGGAGAAGCCAGAGCAGGTCACTTATTATAAATTTAATATAAAATTTCAAATATTTTCTCATTAATAAATAATTATCAATCAACCGAATAATATAACGTTATAACTATACACCGTTATTAGTGGGTTTCCGTTATTGGTGGTGGGCTGGGCTAGAGTTTTTTTCCATACCATTTTTAATCCCATTCTTTATCCGTACGGACTGTACGAAAGGGGGATGCCCATTTTCGGCCATGGAACGCCCAACAATATGCATTTATTAAAAAAAATATATCTTTATTTATGGTTATTAATCGCGGTATTCATTTATCCTAAAAAGATGTGAATATTTTTGCACAAAAAAGGTACTGAAATGATGAAAATAAAATTAAGTAAATGCGTAATTCATTAGTTTGTGGATAAAATAAAAAATGTTGCCAGTCACAAATCTCATTAAAATCTATTCCCTTTTTTAATCGATTATTTACGGTGTCATTATTACAATGCTAATATAACTTTTCGATAATTATTATGATGTTACGATATAGGTGTTTGATTTATCCAAAGCAGCCGATACGCAACCGTAGTCAACCAGTTGTTTATCCGACTACAGACGAAAAAGGATGGTTGTTTTTACTGTGTGTGCGGGTGGCTAAGCTGAATCGCTTTTTGCAATGGAGCTTAAAAACTACTTGACTGATTTAAAAAATTCTTTCATCATTACAATTCTATTATGACTGTGAAACGTACGATGCATTTTATGATAGAGGACGCTATTTTCAACGAATATATTTATTTAGCTAAACTCGTAAAATCCTTTCACCGCTATAATGTTATGTATATTTATAGATATCTAATGTAAGATGTATTTTTATTATAGAGGGCGCTACTTTCTGTGAATATGTTTTTATTAGCTAATCTCGAAATACTTGACCGATTTTGAAAATTCTTTCACCATTACATTGCTAATGAGGGCGTTAGTTGTGTGATAAAATTATATTATTAAAATAATTATTTGTGATATTAATACTTTCTAAATAAATAAAAGTAAATACCTACCTAAGATGATCAAATCCTATTATTATTTTTAAAATTTAACATTCGTATTTACACACTTTACCTACTTACTACTATAAATAAATAAATAAATAAAATACTTAGGTTGATTGTTTTAGATATAGGTAATAAATCTAAAATAAGAGAGCTCCACTTAAAAGAAAAAATAATTAATAAAATATAACTAAAAGTTGGAAAAAGTGGCCCAATGTGAATCGGCCTCGCAAGCCAATGAAGAGTTCCGTAGTAACAAGCAAAGATTCTACATCGAGTTAAAATACCACTATCATTATCACCAGCAAAAAGTTACTTTGTTTTTCCTAGTTTTTGTATAAAGGACAAAATTATAATTGCGGTTCTTGAAAATAAGCTACTTGTAGCTCAAAAGAAAGTCTTTACGAAAGAGAAAAACTTATTGCACAAAGAATATTTTTATCAATTTCAAGCTAAAAACAACCGTTGTTATCGGCTTGGTTGAAAACGTTAACAACCGTCTTCACATCTGTAGTTATGATAATTAAATAAGCGATTTACTAGCTGATTTACAATGAATTCTATGCAGTATGACAAAACGCTACTGCAGAATATAACTGTTATTCTTATCTGTTCTTAACAATACATTTAAAATGAAATCATGTTATGATAGTTAAAGTGAATTTCTAGCTGATTTATCATGAATTTTTAGATCATAACAAAACGCTACTGCACAATTAACTGTTCTTAAAAATAAACTTAAAATAGAATTTAAATAAATAAAGGAAAATACATTTTAAAAAGCGAGCAGAAGTTAAAACGCCTCCAAGATGAATGATGAATGAAGATCTCTTTTTATGAAATTATTAATCGAATAATAATCGAATCGCTATCGATATTATGATGTTATGATAATTAAACAAGCGAATTACTAGCTGATTTACTATTAAATTTTTAAGGATGATTCACGCTACAACGTGGCGCGGCCGGGCCGTGCCCCGGCCGGGACACGTCCACCGTGCGCTGGCCGGGCCAGTCATTCATGTTACACCGGGCTGTTTGCACGACTCTGTGTTATGTGGTTTTTTCTCCATCGATGATGAAGCGAAGCGAAAAACGAAGCGAAACTACTAAAAGAAGATGGGGTGTACATCCAACCTGGAGAAAGCGAGAAGCAGAAGGAGAATTTGCTTTACTTTACAAAGAATTAATAGATGATGAGAGCAAGTTTTATGGTTATTTTAGAATGTCTAAAGAATGCTTTACTTTTTTACTTGAAAAAGTAAAACCAGACTTAACCAAAAAAATTACAAGATTTCAAAAGCCAATATCTCCCATCGAACGATTAGCAGTCTGCATCAGGTAAATAATAAATTGATATGCACTAAATCACATAGTATTTAAAAATGTAGTATTTAAAAATTGACCCGTCTCACAACCATCTATCAGAGCTAGTTGTAAGATGGGTCGATTTTTTCTAAATACTTCATTTTCAATTTTTCAATAATCAAAATTGCATTGTGAATGAAAAAAAGTAAAAATTTAAATAATTCGCATAGTATTTATTCATTTCATTAGTCTGCCGTGAACTCTGAAAATAAAGTAGACAAATTATTAGATTTCAAAGGCGTAAGTTCCGAAGGCGAAGGTTCCGAAGGCGTAGGTTCCGTAGGCGTTGATTCCGGTGTTGGCGTTGGTGTAGTCATCGGAACCGGTGCATACACCGACCTTGAATTAGTAGACGACACCGACGTTGTTTAACTCATTGGAGATGTGTAAGAAGAAGGCTCTGATGACAATTGCTCCCACTCCAAATCTTGTACTACTGCAAATATTCTTCCTTTTGCAAGATGCTGATAGTAAGGGGAAAAAGATTTTATGGTGGCTGCCAAACCGTTGAAGAAAGCATCAATAGGATGAATGTCTTGTGTGTTGGACTTTTCTTTATTTTTTAGAATGTATTCCATTAATGCGCTTGACGCAGAGGACTGGGATTGTGGCACTATACGACGGCGATTGTGTGCAGTTGCAACGGTTGCATTGCGATTGCGGTTGCCGGAACGAGTGAATTGTGCAGTTGACGGGGGATATGGATTCGGGTCAGCAGGTGGCGTAAAATTTGGTTGACTAATAGCTGGTGAGCGATCTTCCTGCTGCTGCTGTTCATCGGTGTTAATTGTTTCGTTGGGCGTAGTAACTGGCGAAGTAACCGTTTCGTTTTGCGTCTCTTCGTTCTCAGACTCGAGATACTTGTTATTGTATTTCGATCCTGTATATGAGGCAGTAAAAAATTCAAGCTCTCTTCATATTTATATTTTTTTTATAGCCACAGCACCCTGTCCACTCTTGGTTTTACGTTTGTTTCTATGTTTTTTTAACTGGTCCCGTATGTTTGCCCACCTTTTTTTAGATACAACATCTGCAAAAAATAGTACAGAATTAACAAGTTAAGTAATTTTCTTTACAACCTGTATAAATGGTACTGTTAATACGTAATAGCTCACTGTAGTACACAGATACCGCGAAATTATACCATTATTATTTTTTCAGGTTCCTGGCTACTGGGGATTCGTTTAAAACTATTTCGTACAGTTTTCGATTGGGGCATTCAACTGTGACCGAAATTTTACATAGCACATGTCAATCTATCGTTAAAAGATTTAAGAAAGACGTTATACCAGAACCAACAGAAGAAATGTGGCGTAAAATTGTCGAAGATTTTGAAAACCTTAGAGGTTTTCCAAATTGTATAGGCGCATTGGATGGAAAACATTTTGTTATTGAAGCCCCAGCCAATAGTGGTTCTATATATTTTAATTATAAACACACATTATCAATTGTTTTATTGGCGTTAGTGGACGCATGCTACAAATTTATTGCAGTTGATGTTGGCGCTTACGGACGAAACAGTGATGGTGGCATTTTTGCACAATGTAATCTTGGAAAACGTTTAGAAAATGGGACGCTTCATGTACCTATTGGTAAAAATTTACACGGTTCCTCTACGTTTGCACCATATGTAACAGTTGGTGATGAAGCGTTTCCTTTGAAAACATACCTAATGCGACCGTATCCAGGACACCAAGCAACAGGTGACGCTAATAAAACGAATTTCTATCATAGGATGTCTTTGGCCCGGTGACTAGTCGAAAATGCCTTTGGTATTTTGACACAAAGATTTAGAATATTTCAAAGAATGAAACTTGCTCCAGAAAATGTTGAATACATTATTCTATCTACATGCGTACTGCATAATTTTTTATGTGAACAAAAAGATTACACAGGGCTTATCAATCATAGTGCAAAAAATGCGCAACCACATTTATTAAGTCCATTGAGCGTTCAACCAGGAAGACCGGCTAATGATGCATTTGCGGTAAGAGAAACGTTTAAAGAATATTTAGCGTCAACAGCGGGACGTAATTTTATAGGACAACAGTATCAATAATAAATACATACTTACACTATAATATACTTCTTATAATTTACCTAACATATTCTAAAATACCTACTAAAAACCGATAATCCCACTCACATGTACTTACATGTTGTCGTAAAGTAATTAGTGACACTTGAATAACTATTATAAATGTAAATTGAAATAAAAGTTACAACTTACCAGATTGTTTTATTTCGTCCGAAATGGTTTTCCAAATAATATTTTTGTATTTGTTATTTAAATACTTAGGATGGCTCATATCGTAAATCACAGGGTACTTGCGCATACGTTCTAATAATTTTTCATGGTCCATTTTGCTGTTGAGCTGCTCACTTCACTAAGATTTGACGTTGACTGGTCTCCGGGCGCCCGGGCGCATATGTTCATGTTACAACGTGTCGGGGCCGGACCGTGCCGGAGCCGGGAAACAATACCCACCGACATTTCAACGCCGTGCCCCGGCGGCGTACGGCCGGGGCACGGCTGGGCCACGGTCAGGCATGAATCGCTTCATACAAAAAGTACACCATAATGTTTGACCGTGCCCCGGCCGGGGCACGGCCCGGCCGCGCCACGTTGTAGCGTGAATCATCCTTTAGAATATAACAAAATGCTACTGCACAATTTAACTGCAAATTGCAAATTTAATTGTTATCTGTTTTAACAATACATTTAAAATGGAATCATGTTATGATAATTAAACAAGTGAATTTTCAGATGATTTACCATGAACTGTTTAGAGCATAACAATACGCTACTCCACATTTAAACTGTTCTTAAAAATACATTTAAAAAAGAATTTTAATAAATAAAAGAAAATATATTTTAAAAAGCGTGTAAAACTTAAAGCGCCTCAAATATTTTTTTATTAAATTACTAATCGAATAAAAATCGATTTCATTTCATTGTATTTATGTTAGTTATGTGGCAACATCAAATCTGACAGCTAGGAAATATGTCATGCGAATTGCAAATGAAAATGAAACCTTGGCTATGGATGTTTTCTGTTGGAGCCTTGCAATAAATCATCCCTGAAAGTAATGGACAAAATTCAATCGAAATGCCTTCGCATTATTACAGGGGCAATGAAATCCTCACCAATAAATGTTCTTCAGGTTGAGTGCGTAGATCCTCCTTTAAGCTTAAGAAGGCAATACCTTTCAGACAGATTCTTATTTAAGATCTGCCAGCTTTCAGATCATCCCCTAATTCCTAAATTGCATCTTCTTTCAGAGTATATCTCATCTGACCGATACTGGACCCATAAGAACTCTCCCTGCTTGTTTAGAAGTTTTGTAATTTTTTAGCTTCCTTACCCAATCTTTCAATGTAAAATAAATCCACTCTTTGATGTTCCTTACGAGGCTACTGTTTACCAACCCGATATTCATCTAGATCTAGGTATAGAAAAGGATTCTCCAATGGCAAATTTGAAATTAAAAGAAATTATAGAAAACACCTTTAAAGATTGGCTTGTCATGTACACAGACACTTCAAAACAGTCTGATGAAGACTATACTGGAGCTGCTGTTTGGATTCCTAAGTTCAAAATCATTCTTAACTTTAAATGCACCTCACTATCCTCCACTTTTACCGGTGAAGCAACTGCAATCAGTGAAGCTTTGTTATATGTAGAGTCACATAATCTTAATAAAACAGTTATTTTCACAAATTCCAAAAGTTGTTTGTTAGCTATTTTGTCCAATCAATTCCATAACAAACATAAATTTCCACTAATTCTTAAAATAAAAAATACCCTATTCAGATGCCATCTTAAAGGAATCCATGTCTCAGTGGCCTGGATTCCAGGCCACAGTGGTATCCATTGTAACAAAACAGCTTATGTACTCGCTAAAAATGCAATTGCTAATGGCATTCTACAAAATTTAATTTACTCACTAGACCTAATTTTGCTAGCTAAAAGGAAACTGAATGAAAATTGGAATAAATTATGGGAAGTTTCCAAAAATGTTAAAGGTAAGCACTATGCTGCCATCCAAGAGGTTACTCCTCCCAAGCCCTGGTTCTTTAAATTTAACAAAGCAAATAAACATGCAACTTCAATCATTTGTAGATTAAGAATTGGACACGCTTGTACACATGCACATCTGGCAAAAATCAGAGTAAGGGATAGCTCATTGTGTGAATGTGGCTTAGATGAAGCAAACCATATTTTTTCAACTGTCCCAAATTATCCTCCTCCCTTTATGATTACCTTCCTCCTTATATTCCTCGACCTATAGATTTTAATTCTCTTTTAACATATACCAATACTCCTTTTGTGTATATTTTATGTGATTTTATTAATACTAATAATATGAAACTTTAAATCCTTGTCACATTTAACCTACTGGTAAGAGTCTAACACCTGTGTTTGTCATATTTGTTCTAGGTAATTCAACAAATAGATTTGTCAAAATTCTCGGAGGAAAACTGAATCCTTGTATTATCACAGACTCTTATTTTAATTAAACTCATAAGCTTTCATTTTCCACTCAATACGTCATTGGCGAATTTTATCAAACCGCCACAAAAGAAAGAAGAAGAAGAATCACAATTTAACAAGCTATAAGGTACTAGAGAATTCACAACTAAATAGTCGCAATTGTGTTATTTTGTTTGTTATTTTTCAAATAAATTCTCAAGAACTCATATGGAGTGATATTGCCGATCACATTATAGTGTGACAACAGTTAAAAGTAAGTGTTCAACAGTTTTTAATTTATTAATTCTAGTGCTGATATTTGATAGTGATGAATGAATGAAATGATGAAGTTGTTTTATTTTTTAACATATGCACAAGCTATATCTGACAAACATAGCTTATTTATAACATGGCGATAAGATTAGCTAGCTAACACCAGATAGTTACGAAATTGACAATTTTTATCAAATACCAAGAAATGAGACAGTCGATTTTTAATTGTTTTTGGACTACTGGTAGTCAGTCAGTCTTTAATTATTTAATAATATAGGTCATTAAGTTTTAAGTAACATTTACCTATATTTGAGTTTAAAGTAAACAAATCTATTTTATTTTTTTCACTTTGTCTTATGTCATTTAAATAGTAACTCTTGGTATTTACTTTTAGAATCAATATATAACCATATTAAAACATTTAGTGAAGCACAAATTATAGATTTTTCTACATTATTGTAAGATAATATATACCATCATATAGACTTTGAAAATATTCAGGCTTATCAAAGGCACAATACCAACAAATTCTGTCTGTAGTTCCCAAAATGTCAAGTAAACATAGTGGATGTTTTGCACTTGCTGTATATTTGTTGAAAGTAAGAACAGGAGATAGTGATGAATGCATATAGGCATTATTGCAAGTGCCAAGAAACAGATTAGAGCGGCTTATGAATATGGCCCGTGAAATATTAAATCAGGATGTTGTTCCTATGAATTTTATCCATTGTTACCACTCTCTGTGCCAAATTCCATTCAGTAATTATGATATTATATTAGAGGCAAATAATTTCTTAGCTTTCCTAGATGTTTTTGTTATCCAAAATCCTAACAACATCATAGGTCACACTGTGTATGGAAAAAAGACCCATACAAACTGATATTTAAGCGGTGAATCTCACCATCATCCTTCATAGTTAGTTACCGTGAGCAAATCTTTGTTACAGAGAGCATATGGGATCTGTGAGAGCAAGTACCTGGCCATGGAGCTTCAGCACTTCAAGCAGGTTCTGCACAGAATCAAGCTTCAGGTCCCGATTCTACGTCACAGTGACCGAGTGAAGCCGACTGCAGTTGAGCGTGTGCCTGCTGTACTACCGTATGTCAAGGGTGTCACCCCAACCAGATAGACATACATCAGATTTGATAGACCACAAATCCTCGTGAAAGAACCTTAATTACTACCAAGGATGATATGTGAGGCTATTGAAATTAAAAAAACATCCTAATTTCAATAGAGAAGGCGGTTGGGTACTACCACCTGCTTGGGACACTATAATTAATAAAATTAAAACTAAACCCAAGTATACCACTGCAAGACTTAAAGATAGAGTAAGTTCAATCTGCGTAGATTGGACTATAAAAATAATAATAAAAAGCTGAAGGTACTCCATGTTAATACTGACATTGGGATGGCAGTCACCTCAGTCCCCGTGACCATGGGTGCTATAAAGCACCTGTAACGTCGGGAATCAAAAGTTAAAGAAATTAAAAGCAATAAAATTGGTAAAAGTAGTTGTTAAAAAACTGTATTTGTGAAAATAAAAACTTTTATATCATAAAAATCCCGACTTTTTTAAAACCAATTTCTTAACCATTTCATTATTTTAATTGCATATTATCATTTCCATATGCTTTTATATGTGGGCACCCATGGCCGAAGTGTCTATGAACAGTGGACATCCCCCTTAAGAAACAGCTTGGAAGCAACCACCTCATTCCCAGAGATTATTATCAACCATGTATTCATTTATATTATAATAACCCCTTTTATATAGTTTTTAATTAAATATTTAAAGTGGAACCTGTAGCCCATGGGCACCTGCAACAAGCCTCAAACAAAGACTACGGATGCGATGTTACCTTTGAGCACTAAGATATATGTGGTGGATATACATGTTAATGGAATAAACACATAGAAAACAAAATCAGCAAAGCTAGTTTAACTTTCTGGCAATGCAGAAACATGATTGGCAAACGATGGGGTTGACACCAAAAATTATACTGTTGCTGTATAAAACGGTAATCGGCCCATGATCACATATGGCTCTCTGGTATGGTGGACCAAAACCAATGAAGCCACCACTATACGAAAGCTTCAGCGTTACCAGAGATTGGCTTGTATGGCTGCCACGGGCTGCATAAGGACTACACCAACAGCAGCTTTGGAGGCTATGCTGGAGCTAACACCGCTTCATCTACATATACAACAAGAAGCAACTTTAGCTGCCATTAGACTCAAGACCCTAAATCTTTTAAGTATGAGTAGAGTCCCCCATTCGATATAATTGATAGAATTTATTCAAAAATTCCTATCTTACAAGCCAAGTATGATAGGATCCCACAACAATTTGTATTT